GCTGTGGGCCGGCCGGTGGCCGTGCAGTGCGTGGCCTTGCCCTGGCAGGAGGAGCTGTGCCTCCGGTTCATGAAGGAGGTGGAGACCCTCAGCCGTGAGAAGAGAGCAGCATAGCCACCACGGTCCCACGCCTGCAGGGCCAGCAGCGAGGCGAAAGGGACAGCCCTGCACGACTTCTTTGCAACTGGAAGCGCAAAGGTGACAGTGAGGAGGGAAGGAGGAAGAAAAAGCCATTTCCCGACCCCCCTCCTTGCCAATAAGCACGATCCTGTAAGGAACCAAGATGCAATGCAGAGGGCAGGACTGGCTTAAGCAAGGTTCAAATGAAGATAAATCCATGAACTGCACCGTCCTGGAAGGATGGACACGGATGGGGGCTCGTCCACACTTTCATCTATGCTGCCTCTTGCAGGAGCATGACAATGCCAAGAGAAAAGCATTACAAAAGCTCAGAAGTATTTTCTTGCTGGCACTGGAGTAACTTCATGTTACATGGCTGCCCAGTAAGGAACAGAGCCATATCTGCCCTCCCCATCACTGTATTTTGCTCAGAAAAATAAAAATGTAGCTATTAAGGAACTCTTATAATAAACTCCAGTAATCCTTCACTGATGCTACGATTATATGAATACACAGTTATTACTGAAAATCATACAAACACCTTCCCACTGGACATTAAATGGCATCCAGCATGGGAGTGTTCACACCTTCCCGCTCAACCACAGCTTCCCTATCCATGAGGGATGGCAACGGTCAGTGACCTTTCCCCCACCAGATCTCGAGCATCCCAAGCACGTTTCCAAGGGGCATTCTTAGGAACCTCTTATTTCAGGACCTCAGGCTGCTCTTTCTGAAGGTAGGAGAAAAGCAGAGACAGATGCAACTCAATTACGCAGATGGTGAGATCTGGGACAGAAAGGCTGAAATCCCCAGATGGTGTTTGTTAACCCAAACCTGCTCACGTAGGATCAAAGCAGTCAGACAGGAGGGAGAGGGCAGCATCCGCACAGGGCCATTTACCCCATCCTGAGATGGATGGACAAATTGCTCCTGCTCATAAGACCTCTCTCTCTTGCCCAGATTAAACACCTCAAACAGATAAATATTCAGGAGACTCCGCAACAGGTCTTTCTCATTTATTCTCTATGTCTGCAGTCAAAAAACAGACTTCCTTTCAGACATTTTAAAAAGAAAAATAAATATAAAACAGTTCTATTTCCCTGGAAATTTGGGGTATTTCCTGATAGCCAGCACACAGTCTGTCACCGCTTCTACATCCGACGTAATTTGCAGAAATACATAGGTCCAAAGTTGGCTGTGAGGTGAGGCAGGACAAGCTCCCCCAGCCGGCAATCTGAGAAGAAGGAAAATGTGTCCTGGAAGAGCGTCCGAAAGTGGCTCAAGTCCTCAACATGGATACTGATGTTAAACTGGATTTCTGCAATTTCTACCGCTCTCTCGATCACATACTCATTCTGCAGCGGGGAGAGGGAGCACGTAGAATACACCACCTCTCCTCCCGGCTTGGTAGCGAGGATCCCAGCCCTGCAGGCAAGATGATGAACACACACACCGTCACAGGAAGAAGAGGACTGTGTGTGACACCAGCATTCCCACCCACCGAAACTGGGAAGCCAGCACATAACTCATAGGAGGCGAGAGACAAATCTCCTTGAACTCCACAGGCTCAGCAGTTCTCACTGTGTCACTGCGACTTGAGGACCGGTTTTGACCAGGGCAATGTGGGTCAAATAGATGCTCAGATTGATAAAAAGTACGTAACGTGCGAGAGATGCTACTGGAGAGTGGCTGGAAGGAGTAATCCTGCTCTCAGCTCCACGGGAATGGGACAGGAGTACGTACAGGGGAAGAGGCTCTCGCAGCTCAGCGCTGCCATGGGACTCTGTTTCCTTTTTGCCCCAGCTCACAGTCAGCATGTCCGCCCTTCCCAGCAAAATGGGGTGACAAAGCACCCCCACATCCTCCCACGTGCTGGGAGATATGGACACTCGGGAATCCTCCAGGGCTGACTGCTGGGACCCGGAAGATCATCACACAAAGGGACAACACTATACCCACCCTGTTCCTTAGACCCTCGTCCCGACCTCCTGTGGCTCCTGCTGGGGCGGGAAGGACATTTGATCTGACCGAGAACATTTTCACCTTCCTACACTTACTGCCATTCCAGAAAACTACACACGCTTTCCACATTGGCCGGTCAGGGACACACAAAGCAAGAAGCGTCAGTGCTGGCCATGGAGAGCTGCTCTCGTAACACAAATGGCACCAGAACACACAGCTTGGAGCTCACTCACATCAGCAGCTGCAGCTGCAGCATTGGCAACATCTGACGCTCCTTGGTTCTTCTCTTGTGGAAGATGTTGTTCTCCTGCTCCATGACAGAATGCCTGTCCGTCGTGCAGGGCACATCCACCAGGACCTGCAGCAGCAGAGGTCCTGCATCAGTTCTGGGCACAGGTCAAGCTCAGCGAGTCTCCTGGCACAGCCTGCCCCTCGCCCGACCCCTCCACCCTTGCCACGCACCAAGCAGCTCTCAGTACCTGCCCGTGCGCAGGGGTGCACCCCAGCTGCTTTTACGTTTCAGAAATGTGCAAACAGACACAGAAATGGTGGACACATGCTCACACACGTGTCCTGATTTAGCGTTTCTACTCTGTGTGTCTTCCCGGTACGCGTTACTGCGGCACCTACAGCTGCAACCACGCGCGGTCAGAGCTCCTGCAGTGACACCTCCCGGGGTAACAAACCCAGCTCCCGCGGCTGGACGCGGCTGAGAAACAAGAGCTATCTCCACATTTAACCCCTTGCAGGTGATGGACTAGAGCAGCATCTTTTAAGGACTATTACACAGGCAGATAAAGGTACAACTCCGGATGCCCACGCATACACCAGATCCTGCAGGAAGGGCAGAGCAAGAGGAAATATTACTCCGTTTGTGGCTTAGTCTCATCTCTTTCTCTACATTTAAGATTATGGAAAACTATACAATTATACTGTTGGATAAGCCGCTGTCTTCCTCTGAAACAGGATGAAAGTGACTTAGATGGGTTTATCTTCACCGATTCCCGATCACCCACCTTATGGAAAGTGCCACCTTCCAGCTGACCCCAGTCCCTTCCGTCGCAGGACGTGACGCTCACAATTTCCCTGATTTCTTTGGGAACGTAGCTATGGAGAATCTGGTACAGCCTCTTTGTCCGGGAAATAGAGACATCATTGGCTGCCAGGTGCCCTGAGAGGATAAAACACGCACAACCGGGAATGTCACTCTTGCAAAAGCACATCCGATTCCCAACTCTTATAACCAGAAGTGATTAACGGTCAGACATTAATGGGCACAGGGGAGAAGGAACACCCACCTCCACTTACCGCAAACCCCGGTCTGCAGCAGAGCCAGAGTCTTCCCACCTGGAGCCGCACAGAGGTCAAGGACAAACTCATCCGGCTGCACGTTGAGTGCCAGGACAGGCAGGAGAGATGCTGCGTCCATGAGATAATAGTTGAGGAGACCCAGAGTGTCTGGCCTGGAAATCACCAGTTTGCATGAAAAAAAAGCAAACGCGCGAGGGGAAAAGAAAACAGCAGTTGGAAGCGAGGATGAGGACGTACAGAAGCAGCGTGTGCTCACACACGTGCAGCCCCCGAGGCCAGCAAAGACAGCGGATGGTCTGGCCCAGGGATGTCTCACCGTGCAGGGCGAAAGCGTGTGATATCACCCCTGGGGAAGGTGTAACACTTGATGTTGGGGCTGATGGAGGCACGAAGCGGTGGTGATGTCTCTGCCTGCGTCATCATCTCTGCCTGCATCACTGTTCTGCCCTCACCAGACCTGCCTTCCTCTCTCCCCACTTCCTCCGCAGCTGCACCCCGCTGCAATCGCTGTGCCTTTTTGGGGACTTCGGAAACAAAATCGGTAGCATTCAGCAGCTCCAGCTCTTGGGTGACGTGGTCGACAGGAGAGAAGTTGTTGATGAGGGCACCGTACTTCTGCTCGCAGAGCAGACTGGCGCGGACAGAGGGCCACAGGTCCTTCAGCTGCAGGCTGTAGTTCATGTCGAAGTGGTGCAGGGCCAGCCGCGTGGGCGGGATGCGGGGGGCCATGGTAGCCTTGGGTGGAAAAAATACCAAAGATGTTAAAAGACAAAATACCTCCACAGCCCAGTGACCCCCCACATGTTTTTCTGGAAGAATCCAGTGCCACGTTCTGTGCTGCCAAAAGTCCCTGGGGCCTTTCTGCGCCCCAGAAAGTGATGGTGCCCCCCATACCCACGGACTGGCGGTTCCCTGGGGGTTCAGCACCAGGAACGGCTGAATGGGGCTGGGGGCGCGGGGTGGGTACGGAAGGAGGGGAACAGCTACGTACAGCAGTGTAACGGGGGTGTAACGGGTGAGGGGTGCTACAGGGCACGGTGAGAGGTGCAAGGGGGTGAAATGGGGAGACCAGAGGGACGCAATGGGGTGCAAAAGGGTTAGCGGGGAGAAAAGGGGGG